TGTGGGGGTCTCCCACCGGGCAAGATCGACCGGTTCCAAAATGCCTTGTTGTATGAGCTTGTCCAGCTCGGCGTCCACCTTAGGCTGTAAGACGAAAGGCACCCTGTGCGGTTTGAGGCGTCAGGTGGCACGTTAGGGTCTAGGCTGAAAGAGACCGGAGTCCCAGTGTATTTTCCCAATGTATCGGAGAAAACTGTAGGAAACTCTTTAGTTAGGGTGTCTATTTCAGAGGAGTGAATGGCATGGATGCCGTGAATTGTGAGGCCAAGAGCAGCAAACCAATTGAGACCTAGGAGACTCAGAAGGGGTCCATCCACAATCACAAGAGATAGATGGCCAATGAAATTCCGGAACTTAACGCGAAAAGTGCCAGTCCCAAATACCGGAATGAGGGTGCCCTGGTAGTCTTTCAAAAGAAGGGAACAATGATCTAATTGGTGTTTGGAGAGCTTCGGCACAAGCCACTTAATAGTGCTCCAGGAGACAATAGAGGTAGCGGAGCCAGTATCTACCTCCATTTGGCATGGCTTTCCTTCAATATGGACAGTCAAAATTATTTTCTTGCCTTCCGCATTCTTTGGCGGGGTTACCCTATTGACAGCAGAAAACCTCCTTTGTGCCCACGCATGCTCATTTGGCACCCCTGAACGGCGTTGTTTAGTTGCCTCAGTGCGGAATCCCTGGCTCATCTGCGGCTGCGCCGACCAGCATACTCTTGCGAAGTGCCCCGGCGGCCGCAATGCCGGCATGTAGCCTCTTTAAATTTGCAGGATGCGCGCAGATGGTCACCTCCACAGCTAAAACATTCGAGCACCCTGCCTGACGTGTTTCTAGGGCCAATGGCCTTATTCTTACCCTCTCGAATGCGGCAAACTTCTAGCTCCTCCTCTTCTGAGTCAGAAAATGCCTCAGCTTTGATTTCGTTTGTACCGCTTACTTCTTGTTCCGTTTTTGGCGGGCTCTGGCCCCGGGGCAGTTCGGCAAAGGACAGAGTGGCTAATTCTGCAGCGCACGCCTCAGCCAATGCCATTTGGAAGGTTAATTCATGGTTAGCGATTAACCGTTGCTTCAGATTTTGATCTCTCACTCCGATAACAAGGCGGTCAAGTAGATAATCATCCAGATTTACAAACTCGCAATGCCGGGCTGCCCTACGCAGCGCGGCGACGTATTGATTAATTGACTCCCCCGGAGCCAGGTCGCGGTGGTAGAAATGCTGGCGTCGGGCTATTCGTATTCTGGAGGGTGCTGGTGCATAATGTCACTTAAGCTTGCCCATGAACTCCTCCCAAGTCCCAGAATGAATTGATTGGGGGGCCATCAATGTCATAGCCATATCGAACATCTCCGTTCCGCAAAAATTTAAGAAATAAGCCCTCTTGCGCTCTGGCGACAGATTCGTATAGTCATTGGCTATCAGGAAACACTCGAATCGGGTGACATAGACGTCCCACGATTCTTTACCTGATTGAACGGAGGGGAAATTGTGTGAGGACGCCATGTATGTGTAATTCCACTGTTCCGTTACCTTCATATCGCGTCACACGTGTCTTTTCTGTTATTTCCTTCAGGTCCGCCTGATCCCACCTTCGTCGCCAGTGGTAAATACTGGCTAATTCCAATGACGATCGGGAAAACTATTGTAATTGCCGAGGTAACTCTCTTTAATAGTATAACTGTGAAGTACGGTACACAACTGACAAGAAGAAGCAAACAGAACTTGCCCTGACAGCTCTTATATACTGGCTGTCAGAACCGACTAACCAACCACAATGCTTAACCCTTGGTACCCCTCCAGCAGGGGCAACCGCATGAAACATGCTCAGTACACAACACTAATGTTCCCTTTAATTGTACTCATTTTATGTATTCAATTCATGCTTATACTTATATATATTATCTAATATGTACTCAACAAAATAAATAAATAAATAAAATAAAATAAATAAATTTAACTGGACCTTCCCAAAAAACAAGGCTGCAAAAAATATTTTATTTTATAAAAATAATAGTTCACCAGATGGTTTTAAAGCTAAATCAGTCAGCATATTGATGTCATTGAGATAACAAATATTATCTGTTATAAAAGATATTACACATTTTTGTTTGTGTTGAGAAAACTGCTTTGATTTAAGCCATTTTAAAGACTGGAACAGTGTAGATTACCAACCAAACAACTCAGCTAATTTACTAAACATTCCAGATCAGGATATTCATTTTCTAGGGTTTATTGCTTTTTAGACAATAAGATGTAGTTTTGTAATCTAAGCATACGAGCTCACAGTTGTAAAGTGTTTTTTTTAGGGATACTAGGCAATAAATGGGACTGATTTTAAAGGTATATATTTGCGTAAGCTGTCATTGAATTAAGATGCAAAATGGAATTAATTTTTTGGGCTTAGTGTCGTACTTCGAGCAATATCAGGTATTTCAAGAAAAAATGGAATTCAAGGTCATCAGTTGGACATATAAAGTAAGTTACTTTACTATTCATTTTCTTCATGCTTGGTTTAGAATTTTAGTCCAGGGCCATCACAGTCCATAATTAACTATTTTATGTCAATCTTTTAAGTTTTAGCAAATAACCAGTTTTCCTGTGAAAAGTTTATTTACCTTTCTTTCTCTTATTTTGGAGAGGAATGTTTATGTGCTGAACAATCCTTCATGGATTCCCAGAGGAGATACCTGCATTTTAATACTGATAATTTTTCACCAATTAGCATTCTCAGAATATTTGTCACAATCTCCAATGAAGATATTTTGATATCCTAATAGGGCAGTCCAAGAATCAGAGCATTATATTAGTCTTAGCAAGTGTTATGTTACTCTAGATCATGGGTGTCAAACTCACCGTGTCACGTTGCCATCACGTGACATATCATGTTTTTTCCCTTTGTGGAGCTGGGGTGGGCGTGGCCTGTGTCTGACGCATCTGGCTCTTTTTTTAAAGAAGTGCTGCTGGGTATCAGTATGATACTAGAGAAATTTAAGCAATTGTAAAAATGAGTCATAAACCAAAGAGTCATAATTGATTAGGAGTGATCTATCTGGGCTGTAGAAATCTAGATGGAAACAAAGAATTCTTTTTTTTTTTTTTTTTTTGGCACAAATGTTGGCCATCCTGGCACGGCAGTCCTATATCTAATGGCACATATTACAACTTCTAGAAGCTTGCAGGTAAGATTTTGATTCATAAATACCAATACACTGAGTGTCATTTTGGCCATTCAGATATTAGAGCGTGACATACTGTTACATAAAGAGAAATATAACAGAATTATTCTGCTCTAATATCTGAAATGGCCAAAAAGGACACTCAGTGTATTGGTATTTATGAATCAAAATCTTACCTGCAAGCTTCTAGAAGTTGTAATATGTGCCATTTAGATATGACTGCCGTGCAGGATGGCCAAATTTGTGTGCCAGAAAAAAAAAAAAAAAAAGAATTCTTTGTTTCCATCTAGATTTCTACAGCCAGATAGATCACTCCTAATCAATTATGACTCTTTGGTTTATGACTCATTTTTACAATTGCTTAAATTTCCTCTAGTTATCATACTGATACCCAGCAGCACTTCTTTAAAAAAAGAGCCAGATGCGTCAGACACAGGCCACGCCCACCCCAGCTCCACAAAGGGAAAAAACATGATATGTCACGTGATGGCAACGTGACACGGTGAGTTTGACACCCATGATCTAGAGTAACATAACACTTGCTAAGACTAATATAATGCTCTGATTCTTGGACTGCCCTATTAGGATATCAAAATATCTTCATTGGAGATTGTGACAAATATTCTGAGAATGCTAATTGGTTGAAAAATTATCAGTATTAAAATGCAGGTATCTCCTCTGGGAATCCATGAAGGATTGTTCAGCACATAAACATTCCTCTCCAAAATAAGAGAAAGAAAGGTAAATAAACTTTTCACAGGAAAACTGGTTATTTGCTAAAACTTAAAAGATTGACATAAAATAGTTTAATTATGGACTGTGATGGCCCTGGACTAAAATTCTAAACCAAGCATGAAGAAAATGAATAGTAAAGTAACTTACTTTATATGTCCAACTGATGACCTTGAATTCCATTTTTTCTTGAAATACCTGATATTGCTCGAAGTACGACACTAAGCCCAAAAAATTAATTCCATTTTGCATCTTAATTCAATGACAGCTTACGCAAATATATACCTTTAAAATCAGTCCCATTTATTGCCTAGTATCCCTAAAAAAAAACACTTTACAACTGTGAGCTCGTATGCTTAGATTACAAAACTACATCTTATTGTCTAAAAAGCAATAAACCCTAGAAAATGAATATCCTGATCTGGAATGTTTAGTAAATTAGCTGAGTTGTTTGGTTGGTAATCTACACTGTTCCAGTCTTTAAAATGGCTTAAATCAAAGCAGTTTTCTCAACACAAACAAAAATTGTGTAATATCTTTTATAACAGATAATATTTGTTATCTCAATGACATCAATATGCTGACTGATTTTAGCTTTAAAACCATCTGGTGAACTATTATTTTTATAAAATAAAATATTTTTTGCAGCCTTGTTTTTTTGGGAAGGGTCCAGTTAAATTTATTTATTTTATTTTATTTATTTATTTATTTTGTTGAGTACATATTAGATAATATATATAAGTATAAGCATGAATTGAATACATAAAATGAGTACAATTAAAGGGAACATTAGTGTTGTGTACTGAGCATGTTTCATGCGGTTGCCCCCTGCTGGAGGGGTACCAAGGGTTAAGCATTGTGGTTGGTTAGTCGGTTCTGACAGCCAGTATATAAGAGCTGTCAGGGCAAGTTCTGTTTGCTTCTTCTTGTCAGTTGTGTACCGTACTTCACAGTTATACTATTAAAGAGAGTTACCTCGGCAATTACAATAGTTTTCCGATCGTCATTGGAATTAGCCAGTATTTACCACTGGCGACGAAGGTGGGATCAGGCGGACCTGAAGGAAATAACAGAAAAGACACGTGTGACGCGATATGAAGGTAACGGAACAGTGGAATTACACATACATGGCGTCCTCACACAATTTCCCTCCGTTCAATCAGGGTAAAGAATCGTGGGACGTCTATGTCACCCGATTCGAGTGTTTCCTGATAGCCAATGACTATACGAATCTGTCGCCAGAGCGCAAGAGGGCTTATTTCTTAAATTTTTGCGGAACGGAGATGTTCGATATGGCTATGACATTGATGGCCCCCCAATCAATTCATTCTGGGACTTGGGAGGAGTTCATGGGCAAGCTTAAGTGACATTATGCACCAGCACCCTCCAGAATAGCCCGACGCCAGCATTTCTACCACCGCGACCTGGCTCCGGGGGAGTCAATTAATCAATACGTCGCCGCGCTGCGTAGGGCAGCCCGGCATTGCGAGTTTGTAAATCTGGATGATTATCTACTTGACCGCCTTGTTATCGGAGTGAGAGATCAAAATCTGAAGCAACGGTTAATCGCTAACCATGAATTAACCTTCCAAATGGCATTGGCTGAGGCGTGCGCTGCAGAATTAGCCACTCTGTCCTTTGCCGAACTGCCCCGGGGCCAGAGCCCGCCAAAAACGGAACAAGAAGTAAGCGGTACAAACGAAATCAAAGCTGAGGCATTTTCTGACTCAGAAGAGGAGGAGCTAGAAGTTTGCCGCATTCGAGAGGGTAAGAATAAGGCCATTGGCCCTAGAAACACGTCAGGCAGGGTGCTCGAATGTTTTAGCTGTGGAGGTGACCATCTGCGCGCATCCTGCAAATTTAAAGAGGCTACATGCCGGAGAGTATAAAAAGTAGGGGTGAAAGGGAATCGCCCTGGAAAATGCCTTGTTTAATAATTTATTACTATTAATTACTATTACTATTACTATTCAGCGCACAGTCAGCCAGATGTTTGGCCTGAGTTTAGCATTTTTGTCTATCTATTGAGTCCTTACCAAGGACCTCGGATAGGCAGATCTGGATGTTTGATGGGGTTACAGAGATTGTCGCAGGATGGAAGCAGTTCCAAGTAGAGCTGCCTTCTGCAATTGACTGATGGCAGATTTGTCAATGCCAATGATGGTGTTCAAGTGGTGCTCCAGTTGTTTTGGGATTGCACCCAAGGCGCCTATGACTATTGGTCCTACCCTTGCTTGCCTTGGCCGTAGTCGATCTATTTCTTTTTGTAGGTCTTTGTATTTTGTTATGTTCTCCAGTTCTTTCTCTTCTATTCTGCTGTCTCCAGGCACTGCCACATCCTCTATCCAGACTACTACTACTACTTCTTCTTCTTCTTCTTCTTCTTCTTCTTCTTCCTCCTCCTCCTCCTCCTCCTCCTCTTCTTCTTCTTCTTCTTCTTCTTCTTCTTCTTCTTCTTCTTCTTCTTCTTCTTCTTCTTCTTCTTCTTCTTCTCCTCCTCCTCCTCCTCCTCCTCTTCCTCCTCCTCCTCCTTCTTCTCCTTCTTCTCCTCCTCCTCCTCCTCCTCCTCCTTCTCCTCCTCCTCCTCTTCCTCCTCCTCCTCCTCCTTCTCCTTTTTCTCCTCCTCCTCCTCCTTCTCCTCCTCCTTCTCCTTCTTCTCTTCCTCCTTCTCCTTCTCCTCCTCCTTCTCCTCCTCCTTCTCCTCCTCCTTCTCCTCCTCCTCCTCTTCCTCCTCCTCCTCCTCCTTCCTCTCCTTCTTCTCCTCCTTCTCCTTCTTCTTCTTCTCCTCCTCCTCTTCCTCCTCCTCCTTTCCTTCCTCCTTCTCCTTCTTCTCCTCCTTCTCTTTTCTCCTCCTTCTCCTCCTCCTCCTCTTCCTCCTTCTCCTCCTCCTCCTCCTTCTCCTTTTCCTCCTCCTCTTCCTTCTCCTCTTCCTCCTCATTATTACTATTATTATTGTATTATTCTTATTACTATTTCAATCTTCAATTCGATTCACAGTCTGGGACTGGTAGAAACTTAACAGTTCAAGTCCTAACCAAGGACACTGTTAAAGTAACATCTGAGTTTATAGGGAGTAAGGTAAGGTAAGTAAGGTGCTTTTTTTTTTTTTTTGCAAAGTCAGAATATTCAGGTCTGATGAGTTCAAAATTTCCGTGTATCTAGGCAGCCCTATTACTATTGGCATCAGCATTGATTCCTTCCTCCACAATCGCTCAACTTCCATTTGCAAATCACGAAAAAAAAAAGTTATTTTTCCCTAGCTGTTTCTCTTCAATTCGTGCATCGCCTGGTATGACGTTATAAACGAAGTAGACTTTTTTTTTCTTTCCCACAATAATATTATTGTCATTGCTTGAGTGTATTCGCCACCCATCTTGCCAGGAATCCCAAAATGCTACTCATAGTAATAGACTCTTTGGATGTGATCTGAAAACATCTGGAACATCCCTTAAACACTGTCGACATGGACAAAATCCCCCTCGGTCAATTGCAAAGACAGCTTTATCCCAAATGTGCTTTTTCAGGAGGCAATTAGATTTAACAGATTAACAGAGTTGGAAGGGACCTTATAGGTCATCTAGTCCAACCCCCCGCTCAAGCTTCCAGGGATGACGCTCCCACAACTTCCGAAGGCAACTTCTGCTCCACGGGTTGATTGCTCTCACGGTCAGAAAGTTCCTCCTCATTTCTAGGTTGAAACTCTCCACCCATTATTCCTTGTCTGACCTTCAGGTGCTTTGGAAAATAGCTTGACCCCCTTCCTCCTCTCTATGGCAGCCCCTCAAATATTGGAAGCCGCTATCCTGTCTCCCCTGGTCCTTCTCTTCACTAGACTAGCCAGGCCCAGTTCATGTAACTGAGAGGCCACTGGACTTCCTTGTTTTTTCCCCACACCCAGTCATCCAAGTCATGGTTTTTTAGCTATACAATTTGGGATGAACTCCCTTGGAAAGGTGTAGGAAGGATTTTCCAGAGGAAAAATTGCAGACTACAGGAACCAGGAGCACCACTCAGGTGACCCCGAGGACACCTGAGATAAACCTCCAAGTGGCCTCAACGACCCTCTAAAAGGATGCAAATGACCAGCTTTGTCTGCAAGGAGTAGAAATCCTTCCGTTCCCCACTATCCGGTCAGAGCTGAAGAAGCTTCTTGGATGAGAAGCGAAACGTCTTCAAACAAAAAACGATGTCCAGTTGCCTCTTGAAAAAGCCCCTTTGGGACAACCCTGACCTGGATGGACTGAGAATCTCTACAGACTTTTAGCTATACAATTTGGGATGAACCCCCTTGGAATGGGCTGGGAGTAGGAATGGATTTCCAGAGGAAAAATTGCAGACTACGGGAATCAGGTGCACCACTCAGGTAACCGTGAGGACACAGAGAAACCCCCAAGTGGCCTCAACGACTCTCTAAAAAGGATGCAAATGACCAACTGTCTGCAAGGAGTAGAAATCCTTCCGTTCCCCACCATCCAGTCAGGGCTGGAGGAGAAGCGAAACGTCTTCAAAAGAAAAAAGCCCAAGAAAATCCAGTTGTCTGTCCCCACCTTTTGGACAGCCATGATCTGGATGGACTGAGAATCTCTACAGATTCTTAAAGGCAGCTTTACTCGTGCCGGTTTATAATATCCTGCCACGATATTTGTAACACCATCAAACATCTCCCTGTCCCAGGTTCTTCGGAAGGACTCGATAGGTAAATAACGATGCCAACTCCAGTCTGACTGTGCAAAAAACAAAACCCTAACCCTAAAAAAAATATATCTCCTAATATGGTCTGCTCGGTGCCTGTTTTTTTTTTCCGAATCTTCCCTCTCGGACAGTTTTTGTGGTTTTTTTTTTTTTTTTAAAGCAATTGCTAAATGAGTGAGCCGGATCTGCATGAAAATTTTAAGCCTTGCTCCAACTTGTAGCTCATAAAGTATCTTAGGGGCAAACGGGAGCGGGAAGGACTGGGAACAAGTCCTCCCTTGAATTCAATCCGTCAAGATGTGGGTTGTGTTTTTTTTTTCCCCTTTCCTGGCTAATCCTGGCTGCAGGGGGGCTGGGGAGTGGGGCCGCCTCCCTGCCCCCTCCCCAAACCCAGGGAAGGCTGGTCTCTTCCATGGGGCTTGGCTGCAGACTTTTGCCAGATGTTTGCAATCCCCCAGCAATGCCAGGAATTCGAGCCGGGGAAGGGGATGGGGGTGTGGTCTGCATTCCAGAGGGTCCTTGGGTGGGTGGGTGGGTGGGTAGGAGGGGGGCAATGAAAGAAGCCGAGGACGGAAGCAGGGAGACCCAGGCAGACCCCGGCAAGGCTGAAACCGGCTCCTTTTGAGGCCGGTCCAGTCCAGGCATCCGTCCAGAACATGTTGGAAACTGCAAGAAGAGCAGCAAAAAAGGGGGGGGGCAAGCCCTCCCTCATGCTCTGAAAGAAAGACCCTCCCCAAATGGAGTTTTCATTCCTGTCTGCCAGTTTAACATACGCCCACAGCCCTTCCAAGGAGCAATTATGAGCAGGTGGATTTAATAACATTCCTCAGGAGCAGCTTCCTGGTTGTGGAAAGATACACAAACGCACTGCACACACAGAAAACACACACACACACACACACACACACAGGGGGGCAGCAGATCTGGGCCCCTTGGGCCCAAACCAGAGCTTTCTTTAAAGCCTCCCAAATGTTCGTTTCGGGCCGGCCGTTCGAAGTGAAAAAGCCAGTTGAGTCAGTTCCTCACATATACGACCGTCGCAGTATCCTCACGGTCACGTGATCAAAATTCCCAGCGTGTATTTGTGACGGTGGTAGCGGGACCTGGGACAGCCCTGCGAGGTAGGCTGGGTGTTGCACCGGACCCCAAATCTCTCGTGGACAGCCATGGCTGAGAGGCGGCCAAAATGGGAGACTCTCTCTATTGAGTGCAACCAATCCAGGGTTGGGATTCAGATGGTTCGTATCGGTTTGGGTGAACCGGTAGTTGTGACCTGCGGGTGGGCCCGCTCACCCGCCCCGGTGCTATGCTGTCCTATTGAGCTGCGTTTGGGGGGGCGTGGCCGGCATCAGGCGATACGGTGTGGATTCTGGGGCTCCAGGAGAACACCGATATCCTAGCCGATTTTGGGGATCCCCAGGGATCATAGCTGTCTTGTGGAGACAGCGAAGAAAGAAGACGCTGGCTGGCACGAATAGGGAATAAGCAAGTTCCCTGAAATGCCGGCATTAGTCTTTGACCTGTCGGTGAAGGAAGGCAGCGATTAAGGAGCTGTCACAAGCCAGAACGGACACGATCAGAAAGAGGGAATGTAGGATTTGTACATTCTACAATGTAGAATGTAGTAATTGAATGGAGCAGTGTTACCGGGTGAGTAAATTGGCCAATCACAGGTAAAAGAAAAAAAGTCTTGGATTGCTTGAAAAAATTGTAGCGGAGGATTGGTGGCTAATTGGCACAGAAGGATTAAAGCGGATGGGGGGGGAAAAAAAACCAGAACTTTAAAAATCAAACCTAAAGCTCTGGAAAAAATCTTCCATTTGGATTTAAAACTGGATTTGGCAGGAAAAAAATAAGACAAAGAAAAGAAGATAGAAAAACATTTTAAACACTATTGAGCTGCGTTTTTTAATCCGCGTGCATCCGTGCAAGTGCCTGCACTCTCAAAGCCCATGCGCAAAAGTCTGCGTGCACCTGCGGAAGGCGCACCCGCGCTCACATTTTCGGTGCTGGGGCAAACCGGTTGTTAAATTATGCGAAGCCCACCTCCGAACCAGTCAATCCATCAATCAGAATAGAGTTGGAAGGGACCTTCGGAGGTCTTCTAGTCTAACCCTCTGCTCAAGCAGGAGACCCTATCCTATCCCATTTCAGAGCAGTGACCGTCCTGTCTCTTCTTCTTAAAAGCCTCCAGTGATGAAGCACCTTACAATTTCTAGTGGCAAGCAGTTCCACTAATTAATTGTCCTCGCTCTCAGGAAATTCCTCCTTAATTCCAGGTTCCTTCTCTCCTTGATGTGTTTCCATTTGTTGCTTCTGGGGCTTTGGAGAATAATTTGACTCCCCTCTTCTTTGGGGCAGCCTGTTCTGTCCCCAACCACACGCACACACACCAACAGACGTTGAGGAGTTAAAGACCAAACCAGCTGGCAAAATCCTTTTCCTTATGATAACAGAACTTGGCAACAACCTAGTGGCTGCCTGCCAAGAGTTTATTATTTACAAAGAGGAGAGATAACTTCTCCCCACTTCTGATACATCAAAGGAAAGAAGCTCAATAATTACGGAATTAATCAAGTCCAGAGATACTCCAGCAAAGTCTATAGCAAAAAGTCCCGCAATGCAGAGTGGCGTGGAAGCTTTCAGCTTTGTTCGTCACAAGGTTTGACTGGCGACCACGCTCCCTTTTATATCCTGTGGGGTGTGGTCCAGTGACTCAGCCTAATCTCGGGGACGCCTTTTCTTCTGTTGTGCGCGTTTATCTCTGCGACGCTGGCGTGGATCCAGCCAAGACTCATTACCCTCATCACTGTCCATCTGTGGCTGCGTGGACGTGCTTGGCCCCGGCCCTATCTCTTGCCCTTCGGTGGACACCGAAGGCATTGCCAGAGAGGAGGGTCCTGGAGAGGGAGGCCTTGCCAACTCCTCCCCTTCACTCTCGGAGTCCTCTCCTGCCGATGACACAGGCTCAGGTAACGGAGCCACAACACAGCCCCTCAAATACTGGAATTCTGCTATCATGTCCCCCCTTAGTCCTTCTTTTCTCTAGACTGGCCAAACCCAAATCCTGCAACCGTCCTTCGTGTGTTTTAGCCTCCAGGCCTTTCATCATCTTCTTTGCTCTTCTCTGCACTTTTTCCAAAGTCTCAACAACTTTTTTTGAAACGTGGTGACTGAAACTGGACGCAGTTATTCCAGGTGTGGCCTTACTAAGGCTTTACAACACAATACTAATGCTCCACGTGGTTTTGAATCTATCCCTCTGTTTACACACAACCAAGGATTGTATTTGCTGGGTTTAACCTCCCTAAACCCAGCTCAAAAAACACATGCCTCACAGACACACACCCCAAGCAGGGGTCCGCTGGGCTGGGCCACTACTGAAGGCCTCCCCCCCCCCTTGGCCACTAACTGAGACCCCTGCCCTTTGCAGCTCTCTCTTACGGCAACGCCAGGGGCTGCCACAAAGGATGGCAAGGAAAACAGGCCCAGCCGGATGCCCCCACTTGGCCAAAACACAGGCCGGGAGGGGGGACAGGCTTAGAGTCCTGGCCAACTTCAGCCCAACTCAATTTCAGAAAGTCCTCGACTTACAACAGTTCATTTAGCGACCGTTCAAAGTTACAATGGAATCTGTCAAGTTTTTCTTACTTAGCGACAGCATTTCCTGCAGTTGCATGATCCAAATTCGGAGGATTCATATTTACGAAGGTCCTTTGGGGTGGGGTGGGGGGCTCACGTGATCCCCTTGGGCGACCGTCTGTTGAGTAAACTCCGCAGGGAAAGCCAGATTCGCTTACACAACCGTGCGACTCCCTTAAACGACCCGCCGCGATCTACTCAACCACCGTGGCGCGGAAAGGTCGTAAAACGGGGCAGAACTCACCAGACGTGCCTCACTTAACCACACAGGGAGTTTGGGGGTGGGGTGCTCCCTTGCGGTCGTAAGTTGAGGACTCTCTCTCGAGCCGAGGATGTCCGGCTCTGCCGAGCGAGGGATGGGAGACCACAGGGCGATTCCAGGGCGGGAGGTGGTACTGAGAAGTTAGCCGAGCTGGATTTCAGGGAGGTCGCTCTGCTCGGGGGCTGGCTGGGACACATGGGCCATGGAGTAGATGGGGAACCTGGCTCAAGGCTGGGGGCGGGGGGGTCTCGCAGCTGGGAAACATGGAGAGCCATTGGTGGGACAACAACTTTTTGGAGTAGAATTCGAAGAATTTTGGAGTAGAATTCGAAGAATTCTGGGAGTTGAAGTCCACAAGTCTTAAAGTGGCCAAGGTTGGAGACCCCTACTCTTGAGAATGTTGGGTGGGTGGGGTTTTTCCCAATTTTTACAGCCACGGGGGGGGAGGGGGGCTCCCTTTTTCCACACAAAACAGGCCCACCTACTCAATCTGAGCATCTCAGGCAGGGGGGAAAGGAAGGGAGGGAGGGGGAAGGCCGGGAACCCATAAAAATGGATGGCCGGGATGGGGGGGAGTAGGGTGGGGGGTGTAACGGCAGAAATGTTCCTCCTGGGAAGGACCCCTGTCAATATTTGGGAACCTTAGCAACCTTCACGGCTGAAAAAAACCCACAACAGATGTGAAGGGCAGATGTGACCCATAGCCTAGCACTTCTTCGACTGTGAGGGGGGGGGTCTTGAATGGTTTTTTTAAATTCCTCTTCAGAAAACACACACACACACACGGGGGGGTGTTGGGAAAGTCCTGTCTTCCCTCCTTCCCTGTCTTCCTTTTACTCTCCTTTCCATTTCTCTATCTCCTTCCTTCCTTCCCCTTCCTCCCACTCCCTTTCTTTCTTCTTTCTTTCCTCCCTCCCTCCCTTTCTTCCTTCCTATCTACTTCCTTCCTTCCTCCCTCTTTCCTTCTGCTCTTCCTCCCTCCCTCCCACCCTGTTCTTCCCTTCCTTCTCTCCTTCCATCTTCTGTCCTCCCTCCTCCCTGCCTCCCTCTTTCCTTCTGTTCTTCCTCCCTCCTTCCCTCATGTTCTTCCTCCTTCCCTTTCTTCCTTCCTATCTCCTCCGTTCCTTCCTTCTTTCTTCCCTCTTTCCTTCTTCCTCCCTCCCTGTTCTTCCATTCCTTCTCTCTTTCTCTCCTTCCATCTTCTTTCCTCCCTCCCTCCCTCCCTTCTTTCATTCCTCCCTCCTTCCTTCTGTTCTTCCTCCCTCTTTTCCTCTCTGCCACTTTCATTATTTTGTTCTTCCTCGCTCCCTTTCTTCCTATCTCCTTTGTTTTTTTCCTTCTTTCCTCCCTCTTTCCTTCTGTTCTTCCTCCCTCCCTCCCACCCTGTTCTTCCCTTCCTTCTCTCTCTCCTTAAATCTTCTTTCCTCCCTCCCCCTCCCTTCTTTCGTTCCCTCCCTCCTTCCTACTGTTCTTCCTCCCTCCCTCTTTTCCTCCCTGCCTCTTTCATTATTTTGTTCTTCCTCCCTCCCTCTTTTCCTCTCTGCCACTTTCATTATTTTGTTCTTCCTCTCTCCCTTTCTTCCTATCTCCTTTCTTTTTCCTTCTTTCCTCCCTCTTTCCTTCTGTTCTTCCTCCCTCCCACCCTGTTCTTCCCTTCCTTCTCTCTTTCTCTCCTTCCCTCTTCTTTCTTCCCTCCCTCCCTCCCTTCTTTCTTTCGTTCCCTCCGTCCTTCCTTATCCTCCTACTGACTGTCCTCCTTCCTCCCGCAGTCCCGTCCTGCAGCACGAAGTGTCTGAACGGGGGAAGCTGCGCCGAGGAGGCCTGCCTGTGCCAGAAGGGATATACCGGGAATCACTGCGGCCAACGTGAGTGCCAACGCAGGCCCGGGCAGCCAGCATCTGCCCGTGGGCATCCCTGGGCAGAGTTCTGGGAAAAATCAACACCCATTTTATTTTCCATTTTATTTTCACAACCACCTTACTGGATAGTTTGGGTGTGTCCGTTTCCCAAAATCACTCTCCATCAATGTTTCTCAACCTTGGCCACTTTAAGAGAGGTGAATTCTGGGAGATGAAGTCCCAGGGTATTAGATTAGCTAAGTGTGAGAAAAAAATGAGTTAAATGTGTGTTCTGGTTTAAGGAATCTTGGGAGTTGAAGCAGTGCTGAAATTCAAAGTTTTTTACTATCGGTTCTGTGGGCGTAGCTTGGTGGGCATGGCTTGGTGGGCGTGGCAGGGGAAGGATACTGCAAAATCCCTCCCCACTCCTGGGGGAAGGATATTGTAAAATCTCCACTCCCACCCCACTCTGGGGCCAGCCAGAAGTGGTATTTGCCGGTTCTCCGAACTACTCAAAATTTCCGCTACCGGTTCGTCAGAACCTGTCAGAACCTGCTGGATTTCACCCCTGAGTTGAAGTCCATCTGTCTTAATTTTCCCAAGGTAGAGAAGCACTTCCCCACCCAGAAAATTTGAAGGTTGAGCAGGGATTAAAACCCAAAGTCATTTCTGGATCTATTTGACCCATAATATGCAGAATCACAGAGTTGGAAGGGCCCTTGGAGGTCTTCTATTCCAACCCTCTACTCAAGCAGGAGATCTTATACCATTTCAGACAGGTGGCTGTCTAATCTCTTCTTTAAAAAAACCTCCAGTGATGAAGCACCTTACAACGTCTGGTGGCAAGCAGTTCCACTGGTTAATCGTCCTCATTGTGAGGAAATTTCTCCTTAGTTCCAGGTTGCTTCTCTCCTTGGTTAGTTTCCACCTGTTGCTTCTTGATCTGCCTTCTGATGCTTTGGAGAACAGATTGTCCCTCTTAGGTTGATCCTTGCAATGACCATATCTAGTGAGATTTCTTCCTCTGAAATCACCCCCATAAAAGAGGCACTCCGAAGCCCATCTTCCTGGGAATCCCAAGCTCATCTTCTGATTTCTGCTTCTCTCCCTTTCCCACTCAGCCATCTGCGAAGGAGGGTGCCAGAACGGCGGACGATGCATCGGGCCCAACCGCTGTGCCTGCGTGTACGGATTCACAGGACCCCAATGCGAGAGAGGTAGGCTAGCCAATCCTGTTGGAATGCAATTGAGTCGCGGTGGCGCAGTGGTAGGAAAGCAGCACTGCAGGCTACTTCGGTTGACTGCCGGCTGCCAGCAGTGTGGCAGTTCGATACTGACGGGCTCAAGGTTGACTCATCCTTCCGAGGTCGGTAAAATGAGGACCCAGATTGTTGAGGGGAGCAAGAGGCTGACTCTGTAAACCGCTTAGAGAGGGCTGTAAAAGCACTGTGAAGCGTTATATAAGTCTAAGAGGTAAGCGGGAAGGAAGGAAGGAAGGAAGGAAGGAAGGAAGGAAGGAAGGAAGGGGCAATAGGCTGACTCTTAAACCGCTTAGAGAGGGCTGGAAAGCACTGTGAAGCGGTATATAAGTCTAAGAGGTAAGTGGGAAGGAAGAAAGGAAGGAAGGAAGGAAGGGAAGGAAGGAAGGAAAGGAAGGAAGGAAGCGGCAATAGGCTGACTCTTAAACCGCTTAGAGAGGGCTGGAAAGCACTGTGAAGCGGTATATAAGTCTAAGAGGTAAGTGGGAAGGAAGAAAGGAAGGAAGGAAGGAAGGAAGGAAGGAAGGAAAGTCAGGAAGGAAGGAAGGAAGGAAGGAAGGAAGGAAGGAAGGAAGGAAGGAAGGAAGGAAGGAAAGGAAGGGAAGGAAGGAAGGGCCGTGGTGGCACAGTGGTTAGAATGCAGCATTGCAGACTAATTCTGCTCACTGCCAGTAGTTCAATCCTGACTAGCTCAGGGTTGACTCATCCTTCCGAGGTCAGTAAAATGAGGACCCAGATTGCTGGGGGCAACAGGCTGACTCTGTAAGTCTATTAAGTCTGCATTACTATTAATCTTCTCATCATTCCTATCACCCATCTCCTTCCACTTATGACTGCATGACTGTAACCTTGTTGCTGGTATCCTTATGGTTTATATTGACTGTTTCCTAGTATGATTTGATTGCTTATTTGTTCCCTTTGACTACTATTAAGTGGTGCACCTTATGATTCTTGACAAATGTATCTTTTCTTTTATGTACACCGACAGCATATGCACCAAGACAAATTCCTTGTCAATCACACTTGGCCAATAAAGAATTTATTCTATTCTATTCTATTCTAAACCGCTTAGAGAGGGTTGGAAAGCACTGTGAAGTGGTATATAAGTCAAAGTGCTAAGTGGGAAGGAAGGAAGGAAGGAAGGAAGGAAGGGAGGGAGGGAGGGAGGGAAGGAAGGAAGGAAGGAAGGAAGGAAGGAAGGAAGGAAGGAAGGAAGGAAGGAAGGAAGGAAGGAAGGAAGGAAGAGCCGTGGTGGCGCAGTGGTGAGAATGTAGTATTACAGGCTAACTCTGCTGACTGCCAGGAATTCAATCCTGACCGGCTCAAGGTTGACTCAGCCTTCCATCCTTTCCAAGATCGGTAAAATAAGGACCCAGATTGTTGGGGGCAAGAGGCTGACCCTGTAAACTGCTTAGAGAGGGCTGTAAAAACATTATGAGGTGGTATATAAGTCTTAACTTCTTTGATATCCCGTTGCAAGTGAGTTAAACATACAGGTTCTGGTTTAAGCTGGGGAATTCGGTGAGTTTTTGTTTTTTTTTTAATTTGATTTATATGCCGCCCTTCTCCGAAGACTCAGGGCAGCTTACAATGCATTAAGCAATAGCCTTCATACTTTTGTATATTTATACAAAGTCAGCTTATTGCCCCCACAAACTGGGTCCTCAATTTACCTACCTTAGAAAGGATGGAAGGCTGAGTCAACCTTGAGCCTTGGAGAGATTTGAACTTGCAGTAATTGCAGACAGCTGATGTTAATCACAATGCTTTTAGTCTGCTGAGCCACCAGGCCCTATGGTGGAGTTGAAGTCCATATGTCTTAAAGTTGCCAAGTTTGAGAAACTGAATTAAATTAAGCACTGGCTCTGGTTTAAGCTGGGGAATTCTGGGAGCTGAAGTCCCAATGTCTTAAAGTTGGCTAAGTTTGAGAAAGTGAGTTAAACATACTGGTTCTGGTTTAAGATTTTGGGAGTTAAAGTCCACCTGTCTTCAGGTTGCCAAGTTTGACGAACCGAATTAAACACACTGGTTCTGGTTTAAGCTGGGGAATTCTGGGAGTTGAAATCCCAATGCCTTAAGCTTTCCAAGTTTGAGAAACTGAATTTTCTCAGCAAGAGAATTCAAGAATTTTATTTTGGGGGGGGGGTTTCTATTTTTTTGTTTGTTTTTGGCTTATTAAAAGACAGGCTTCAATGCTTGGGTAATGAGCCCAATCTTGGGCTGTCGAGCCATAGATAATTTTGTCAAGGAACAGTGAAGGCTTGAGATTTCTGTGGAAATTGGGATCGTAGAAACACCCAGGAGCATAGAAGAGTCCAAAGGCAGATGCATGAATAAATGTGATAAATGTATTTATTCATATAACAAAACATATTAACTATATACAAAGGCTGTCTTAATATCCATTAGGGTGGGGGGCACACAGCGTGTGTGACTACCCCTATCAAAGATCATGTCTCATGGAGAACAAACGTAAAAGAGAGCATGGTGGAGAGGTTAGAGGGGGTTTTATACTCAGTGTAAGCCCCTCCTCTCCACATAGGGGTGGGGGCACTTTCTGCCTCCACTAGTGTCTGTATGATATATGTGCCAATGGCTTGCAAATACTTGACAATTTCTGATTTCCGGTTGCAAACCTAGGCGAAGGGCTCGAGGTTTTCAATGCAGAACGTTTAGCGTAGCCGGGGGGGGGGGGGGGGGGGGACCGAAGCAATGCCTCGGGATGTTGTCAGCCATCTGCAGTCTGGTTGAACTAAGGCAGGGATGGCGAACCTTTTCGGCACCGAGTCCTGAAAAAGGAGCGTGCACGCTTGGCCGCAACCAGGGGTGGGTTCTAAAAATTTTTTACTACTGGTTCTGTGGGTGTGGCTTATTTTGTAGGCGTGGCTTGATGGTCATGTGACAATTCTTTAGGTTTTAGCAGAGGTACTGATCTACCAGGCTTTTATTTATTTATTTATTATTTATTATTCAAATTTCTATACCGCCCTTCTCCTTTCGGACTCAGGGCGGTGAACAGCCAAGATAAAAACATCTATACAAACATCACAGTTAAAAATAAAGTTAAAATAATTTATAAATTTGGCCCATAGTTTAAAATTTATCAATTTAAAATCCATATCAAAATTTAAAACCAACCATAAAATCATAAAATCAAGAGAGACCGGCTAACTGAAAGAGATGAGTTTTTAGGGCCCGACGAAAAGTCCGGAGGTCGGAGATCACTCGTATCTCTGGGGGTAGATTGTTCCAGAGGATAGGTGCCACCACAGAGAAGGCTCTCCTCCTGGGGGTCGCCAGCCGGCATTGTCTGGCCGATGGCACCCTGAGGAGACCCTCTCTGTGGGAGCGAACTGGCCGGTGGGAGGCAATTGGTGGCAGAAGGCGGTCCCGTAAGTACCCCGGCCCTATGCCATGGAGCGCTTTAAAGGTGATCACCAACACCTTGAAGCGCACCCGGAAGTCCACCGGAAGCCAATGCAGCTCGCGCAGGAGAGGAGTCACATGGGAGCGCCCCGTCGCTCCCATAATCCCATAATTTAACTGCTTGCAGAGCTGCACCGGTCTACTCATTTGTTTTTGGAGGCATCGGTCTACTCATTTATTTTTGCAGGCATCGGTCTACTCATTTGTTTTCTTTTAACACTGATCAGCTGTAGGGCGGCCCTTTGAAGCCCCGCGGCAAGAGTTTAAACAGTTTTTTTCCCTCTAGTCATCAGCTGGGACTCAGGAGGCAGCAATAGATTGGGGGTGGGGCCAAATAAAAGGTAAGAATAATGCAGGGGGGGCAGGAGGGGGCGGGGGGACGGGAGGGCAGAACCGGTTCGGTGACGTCATATCGTCACCGCTACCAGCTCGGCGGAACCGGGCGGAACCCACCACTGGCTGCAACTCAGAAGAGGAGCTGCCCAGGGTACATGCGCGTGCCCAAAAATGAACTTCCGGTTTCAGCTACTGAACTTCCGGTTTTAGCCAGCTACTCTTCTGGGTTTCTGGCGCACATGCGCACACGATGATCAGCTGGACGGCGCGCACGCTCACGCCGGAAAACGGAAGACCAGGTCTTCTAGTTTCAGCACTGCCGCATGCAAAAAGGCCAGCTGTTCGTCATGCACGCCAGAAACCCGGAAGAGAAACGGGTGACGTCATGCGTGCCAGGCAACATGGCTCTGCATGCCATTTTGGGCACGGGTGCCATAGGTTCGGCATCACGGAACTAAGATCACTAAAAGCAGCTTGTGCATACCTACAGATCAGGGGTGGGTTCTAAATTTTTTTACTACTGGTTCTGTGGGCGTGGCTTATTTTGTGGGTGTGGCTTGGAGGTCATGTGACTAGGTGGGCGTGGCTAGCTGGTCAGAGTCATTTCTGGAAGGTCCTCGCACTTATGACCAGTCCTCGCACTTACGACCCAACTCATTTGTTTGTTTTTAACACTGATCAGCTGTAGGACGGCCCTTTGAAGCCCCGCGGCAAGAGTTTAAACAGTTTTTTTCCCTCTAGTCATCAGATGGGACTCAGGAGGCAGCAATAGATTGGGGGTGGGACCAAATAAAAGGTAAGAATAACGTGGGGGGGGGTGGGGGGGTGAGAACTGGTTCGGTGATGTCATATCATCACCGCTACCGGCTCGACCGAACCGGACCGAACCGGGAGGAACCCACCACTGCTACAGATACCCACACCGTTTACCTGCCGGATAGAAGCAAGGAGCTTAATATAAATAGCCCCCATTCCAGACAGTCCTCATTTTCAGACGTCGAGAGAGGAAAAACCTCAGATGAAATGCCAACGAAACAAAAATAGAAGTCTGAATCAAATCCATGTGTACTTTGGATGAAAGATGTGTAGAATTGCTCTGCAGGGCGTCCGCTCTGTGCTCCCAAATCTCCTGGCTTGCTTTCCAACAAGCCTTTAGCCCTCCATGAAAAGAGGGATAGAATCAAAGAGTCAAGAGT